ACATTTCTCTGTTTGTGCTGGGGAACTGGATCTTTGGGGTGAACCAGCCTTTGCCGTAATGTGTTTTGGGGTTTGAAAACCACTGGGACATCTTGTTTAGAAAATAAACGTCTCAGTTTCTCCGAAACACCCGTAACATACGGAATAACCACTGGTTTGGGTCTGGGGTCTTCATTTTCACCTGAAGGTTGCATGGAATCCTGTCTGTGTTTCCTGTCTGCTTTCAGGAAAGCCCAGTCAGGATAACCACACCTAAATAGTCACAGTAACTCCTCAAAAATGTGATTCAAATAGCTCAGAAACATGTGAATACCACAGTAATAACATAGTTCAGGTGTCTGAATGTTGTGTTGTGCATATTTAACGACAGGTATGAACATGATGAGTCTTCGTGTGGTTGGATGCCATAAATAAACCAAAACTGAACATCATGATGATTATATTCGCCTTTTATTATCAGCCAGTGTGGGGAAAAAATACTCAGCTCGTTTCCAGTGTTTTATTTCCAAACCTGAACAATTTGTAAACTGTGTGGAGCCCCCCTGCGCTTTCCTCACCTTGTGGAGTGTGAGGGCTGGGACTGTTTGCCCGGACCCTCTTCCTCACCGTCTCCTCAGAGGCATCCTTGGATTCATCGCCTCCTCCGCCCTGGAAGCGCTCTGCCTCCTTCGGCATGCTGCAGTCTGCAGGACAACAAATCACAACAAATGATTCAAGCTGCAACCTGGAGGGATTTTTTGACATCCTCACAAAGTGCTACGTTTGTCCACAGACATGCAAAGATGCCGGGATATGAAGTTGTGACTGTACAGTGTTGGGTTCTGATGTGGTAGTAGACAATGATGGTTTGTTTTTGTGATGTTCAGATGATGACATCACCTGCAGAGGAGGAGGGGTACAGGAGTCTGCGCGACGCTAAATGTCATGAGGGAAGTAAACACAACACAGACTCAGTGGTTTTCTGTTTGTTTATGATCTTATTATCCACGGCACTAACCTTGAAGTTTGAAGCTGAGGGAAGACGGGTTTTAGTGTTCAGTTGCCAGCGTGAGCCCGACTCTCAGTCGACAACAAAACCGTAAAATGACAGAGTTTCCCCGTTAAAATAACACAAATAACCGCCACACAGCGCAGTTATCTATGTCCCAGGTTTATTTTCAGCTTCCTCCCTGCCGGGCGACGAGGTTTCTTCCTCTAAAACTGAGTTTTATTCACGCAGCAGTCCCAGTTTTCCAGCCTTTTTACAGCGCCGCTAACCGACAACAAACACTTCCGGGATGGGTGGAGCTAAAGTGACGTCGCGGCCGAGCCTCCTTCCTTTTTCCTCACGCGCTGTTTTTGAAACGATTTTATGACTTTTGATTTCGGATAACTTTTATTATTAAAAAAAAACATTTAATTTTAGTTGCAAAGTTATCACAAAATCATTTTAGTTCATTTAAAACACTGTTCTCTTCAAAAGCTGCCTCCAGGTACTCTATTTTTGTTTTGTAATTTTAGTTTTAGCCAATCTACTTTAGCTTCGAAGCTAATGTTTGGATACGTTTAGCTAACATTTAGTTTTGAGATAGCCTTTCGCCATGTTTAGTTTTTACTTTGGTCGAATTTTTACTTTTAACTACCATTTAGTTATCTTTAGTTTTTAGGTAGCCATTTGACACTTTTAGTTTTAGCTAGCCTTTTGATACTTTTAGCTAGCTTTTTGTTACCTTATGATTTCAGTTAGCATTACTGTACATAAACATATATTATAT